TTTTAAATGTTTCTTTTTTAGAAAAACTTTGTAAAAATGTGTTTATATGCATCTGTTACCACCTACCCCCACGAGCAGGAGTAGCCACCGTCCATGAGAGAGGCGTCTCCAGATGGATTGATTAATCAAGCTACACCATATTCTGTCGCCTTCGGTTGTCGGTCAACATGTTGGAGAGGAGATGAGCGCTACCAAGCTATCTGAAAGCGTGAATGAAAGACGAAGAGGCAAAGCAACACCATGCCGAATCTGTTGAGTCCCAGATCAACAATGGCCACGTGTCCCATCGACTCACTCCAGGATGAACTTGACAAATGGGAGACTGGAGTCATAAACACGATCAAGGTACCAAGGTTCACATCCTCTATGCCTGCGGTAGAATTCAAGAACTCACTCAGGAACCGAGACGCTATCGCTGGGACATCATTTTTGTGATTACGGGTGTCCATAAACGACATTATCAGAGAGTCAGAGCGGTAACAATAGTAAATATAAAATGTATTGGTAATTTTTTAACATTTCCTCAACAAACATTTTCGTAAGTAAGGCTATAAAGACAGAGTTCTAAAATTCAATAAAATATTAGATTGCATAGAATATTTTCTTAAAATTTTAAGTTTACAATGTTGTTCATGATGACGGTCGTCTTCGAGTATAGAATCCAGAGGTTAGCAATGAATATTTCGAAGACAGTAGGAAAGCGTTGTTCAGGTTAGCAGTGGATATCCCGGTAAAAGTAGCAGAGCGGAGTTCTTCCTTCTGGTTCTCTTCGCCTGACAAGCTGGCACTGGACATTCGGAGAGAGCAAACAAAATGGCCGCCTTTATACACGACGAATTGAATGTTTACGTCTTCTGATTGGTTAACCTTCTATTGGTGGACTATAAAGTGAGTTAAGTCATTTGGGTTGGCTCACTAGTGCATAACATACACAAAAAACTGCAACATACAAAATAGTTAATAAAATTATATAAAAAACCGTTCATGCTATATTCGTCAAGTAATTGAGGCAGTTATCTACATCTTATTTAAATTTACAAAACATCAGGCTGTCGATAGATATGTCAATATCTTATAAAAAAAAAAAAAACAGGTCTACTCGTCATCCATGAAGAGATTGCTCAGTATATACTGCTATATATAGGGGGACTGATATTACGTAACAATTCAGTACATTTTTGTTTTGTTTCTGTTGCTTCAAGTCGCTTCCGCATCTGTGAGGAGATTGTCCAGCATTCACTGGTCATATAGGAGGACTGAAATTAGATAACAGTTCAATACTTTTTTCTTTGCTTCTGTTGCTTCAAGTCTGCGAGAAAATTGTCCAGTATATACTGCCATGTAAGAGGACTGACATTGCTTAACAGTTCATTACTATTTTCTTTGTTTCTGTTGCTTCAAGTCTCTTCTTCATCTTTGATGAGCTTGTCCAGCATTCATTGCCATATAGGAGAACTGATGATACGTAACAGTTCAGTACCCTTTTCTTTGTTTCTATTGCTTTAACTCTCTTCTTCATCTGTGAGCAGATTGTCCAGCATTCACTGCCATAGAGAAGGACTGATATTACGTAACAGTTCAGTACTCTTTTCTCTGTTTCTATTGCTTTAAGTCTCATCTTCATCTGTGAGCAGATTGTCCAGCATTCACTGCCATATAGGAGAACTGATATTACGTAAAGATTCAGTAATCTTTCCTTTATTTCTGTTGCTTCAAGTCTCTTCTTTATTGATGAAGAGATTGTCAAGCATTCACAGCATAATACAGGATGATTGATATTACGTAACAATCTAGTAGTCTCTTCTTTGTTTCTGTTACATTAACTCTCTTCTTCATCTGTGAGGAGATTGTCCAGCATTCACTGCCACATATAAGGACTGATATTAGGTAACAATTCATTACTTTTTTCTTTGTTTCTGTTGTTTCAAGTCTCTTCTTCATCTGTGGAGAGATTGTCCAACATTCACTGCTATATAGGAGGACTGATATTACGTAACAGTTCAGTAAACTTTTGTTTCTGTTGCTTCAAGTCTTTCTTCATCTGTGACGAGATTGTCTATATAGGAGGACTGATATTACGTAACAGTTCAGTACTCTTTTCTTTGTTTCTGTTGCTTCAAGTCTCTTCTTCATCTGTGGGGAGATTGTCCAGCATTCACTGCCACATAGGAGGACTGATATTACGTAACAGTTCAGTAAACTTTTCTTTGAACAGAAAATGAATTATATTGAATAAAACTGGATATTTTTACTTTAAAATTATTGATAAATGATGATAGGAATGAGATTTGAGAAAACGTCCATGAAGGCATACGTAGCAAAGGAACCTGGTGTTTGTAGGCTTTTCTAAAATTTATCGCGCCTCGTGATCATTTTTATATATAAAAAAAAAAAAGAATGAAAGGAAAGAAAAATAGCTTGTAGCAAACAGGCAGCCAGCTGAATATGTGCGTCCTCTAATTGCTTGGTAACCTTTTACGTCTTTGGCTTATTGTCGGCCGAGAAATTTTAGCTACTCCAGTCTGGCGTCTCGACACACTTTTTCTCTTCTTTATCCACAAAAGGTGTCACTGCATATTTCGGAATCAGAGTGAAAATAGCATCGACATCCCCAGACGCTACCAAGGATAGCTTCCTGTACATTCTTTTATCTTCCTCCCCCACCATCCTCGCTGTCGTCTCTCTTTTCATCTTTCTGTTTTTCTATTTGTTATCTATTTCAAACACATACACACGAGCATAAGACCCACTAATTCATTTGCGTGCGAAATACAGACAGTGACTTTATATAGAATGACAGTCACTGGCTGAACCTTGGTATTTTTAAAAGAAAACTGAAAAGACAAGTGAATGGCATAAATAAAGCCGTTTGTTCTGTAAAAAGAACAACACTTGAGTCATATAAAAAAAAAAACGCATAAGATTTAAGTTGTTACTGCAGTAAGGATATTCAAAGTTATTCGAAAAAATAAACACCTCTTTAAACTATCCTTAGTATTGTTATCATAAATATATATATATGTGTGTGTGTATAAACACATACATATATATATGTGTGTGTATATATATATATATATATATTTATTAAAGACATTTTTATGTTTAACGTTTTTATTTATAGATACAAGTATTTAAGCAAATGCTCTGTTTATGATAAATGCGATTAAATAACATTTTATACTGAATGTCCGAGAAATTTTCATAGAAAATATTCGTTCTTTGACAGGATGCGTCTCTGCATCTATAAAGAACCGTCATACGGTAGACAATTTAAATTGTCTCGGCCTTGTCCTTACCGTAGACAATTTAAATTCGACCTTGTCGTGGCCAGAGACGGTTCCGTATAGATGCAGGTTCGAATCTTGTCAAGGACGAATATTTTCTATGAAAATTTCGGACATTCAGGCCGGTAAATGTTATTTAATACTGTTTATCATAAACAGAGCATTTGCTTAAATACTTGTATCTATAAATAACAACGTTAAACATAAAAATGTCTTTTTATTAAATAAATTGTCGGACCTTGTCCATTTCTTAATATATATATATATATATATATATATATATATATATATATGGGGGTATTATAAAAAATCTACATACACGCACATATAGTTGCATGTACGTATAAATATATTTTTACTCAGGTGTTATAAATGTTATGAGACAAAGTTCTACGTATATATTAGTGAATATACATATTATGCAACATTGATAGCACGACACTAAATTTCATGCATTTCTTGAAATTTTCAGGTGCAAATACAATCTGACCGTTATGGAATTCGCGTTTCGTGATGATGATTCAAAACTGTGTGTTAAAACTTGTTTATTTAATTATTCTTGGCTAATATATTAGAATTAATCATTAATAATCCATATCATTCAAATTCTTAAACTCGAAAGGCGAAGAATTAAAAAATATAAAATATATTTAAATATAAATTTAAAATTAAACAAGATATGAAAGGATATAACTTATTTTTTTGCATAAAAACCATAATAATACCATTTAAATTTAATTAGTACTCAGGGTGTAAATATAATATAAGGTGGAAAATAAAAATAATATATATATCTAATGTTTTTGGAACCAAACCTTATACTTATAAATGTGAAATTATATAGACCCACTTTATAAATTAATCGAGTACAGTAACATTGTATTATATATGCTTATAGATATATGCTTATAGATATATATGCTTATAGATATATGCTTATAGATATATATGCTTATAGATATATGCTTATAGATATGTGCTTATAGATATATATGCTTATAGATATATGCTTATAGTTATATATGCTTATAGATATATGCTTATAGATATGTGCTTATAGATATATATGCTTATAGATATATGCTTATAGATATATATGCTTATAGATATATGCTTATAGATATATGCTTATAGATATATATGCTTATAGATATATGCTTATAGATATATATGCTTATAGATATATGCTTATAGATATATGCTTATAGATATATATGCTTATAGATATATGAGAAATCTATTTATTGATGGATTTCAAGAATATTAATAGTTGTTGCCTATCATGTTAATATTCGTAAAAAAAACTCCATGAAACTCCAAGCCGTACTGTCGACATGGGTATTAAGCATATTTACTAATATATATATATATATATATATATATATATATATGAAGGTCAACCCTTCATTATGCCCTTCGTGTGGATTTGTTTGCAAATCCCGTGCAGGATTGTTGTCTCATACGAACCATAAATATAAAAAAGACACGCCTACGTCGAAAACGACAGGAGAGTCCATTATATATAGATGAACATGAGAGAAAGTTGAAAATTTATTAACGACGCATTTCGACAGAGTGTCTGTCCTGTTTGGCTTCCTCAGATTAGAATGAAAGAAATACAAAACTGTATGTGATGGATGCCTTGGGATCTCTGAGGATCAGTAGTAATCATAAATCAGATTAAATTACATATCTTAACACCTCCAATGACCACACTCAAGAGAGTGCCTGTCTGCCTTTTTGTTTGCATATGGTGATTAAAAATGATAGATAGATAGATAGATAGATAGATAGATAGATAGTCAACATACTGTGACAGATAATGAAGATAGATAATGAAGAGATTGTGATAGATAGATAGATAGATAGATAGATAGATAGATAGATAGATAGATAGATAGATAGATAATCAGTAGACTTAGATAGATAGAGAGAGAGAGAGATAATCAATAGACATAGATAGATAGATAGATAGATAGATAGATAGATAGATAGATAGATAGATAGATAGATAGATAGATAATCAACAGACTGTGACAGATAATGAAGATAGATAATGAAGAGATTGGGATAGATAGATAGATAGAAAGATAGATAGATAGATAGATAATCAGTAGACTTAGATAGATAGAGAGAGAGAGAGATAATCAATAGACATAGATAGATAGATAGATAGATAGATAGATAGATAGATAGATAGATAGATAGATAATCAACAGACTGTGACAGATAATGAAGATAGATAATGAAGAGATTGTGATAGATAGATAGATAGATAGATAGATAGATAGATAGATAGATAGATAATCAGTAGACTTAGATAGATAGAAAGAGAGAGAGAGAGATAATCAATAGACATAGATAGATAGATAGATAGATAGATAGATAGATAGATAGATAGATAATCAGTAGACTTAGATAGATAGATAAATAGAGAGAGAGAGAGAGAGGGAGAGAGAGAGGGAGAGAGAGATAATCAATAGACATAGATAGATAGATAGATAGATAGATAGATAGATAGATAGATAGATCCGGAATAAATGCAGTTACAAAATTTCAAATTCTACATTTTGATCATTATATTGCTACTTGTCCAACAACGTATGCGATTTGTTTTTTTGTTGTTGTTTTTTTTTTCAAAAACTAGCAACAATGTCTATAGAATTTAAAAGAGCGTGTATCTTTGAGTAACATGAAAGAGGACTGATTTTACCTGAGTTTTTCAAACTGGAAAACAACAAAGGATAATCTCATTAATACAACGAGAATTCCTCCATCAAAAATAGACCGAGACCAGAACGTCATCGAACCAGGCTTGTTAAAAAAAAAAATTAGGTTCAATCCAAGAAGTTCAATGTGAAAATTAGCTCAGGATGCAGCTTCTTTCTTTGGCCACAATGACGTAGAGGCTTTAAAGAAGTAAGCAGTTGCTGAAAGGGATTCGTGATGGCACGCTAGATAACATTATCCTTACTAATGAGAAACTGTTCAAGGTTGAACAGAGTTTATATCACCAAAATGATCATGTTCTTTCAACAAATCGTTCGACTCAGAAACCGACATAAGTTCTGAGTTGGGCAGTCATTTCAGAAAGAGGAATGTCCCCTCTTGTTTTCGTGTCTCAAGAGGTAAATATCACCGGACATTTTTCGGAAATAATTATTCGAAAAATCATTCGAAAAAAAATGTTTCGATTTCTAAATTGTTTAAATTAAAATTAATCAAAAAGACGATTATACTAAACAATAATTATTCGAAATGCAAAATTCTTTATTGCAATAAAAATGTAAAAATTTAAAGAGGAAATAAACAAATGATAATTATTCGAAATAAAAATATCGTTACTAAAGCAATTTAGTAAGAAAAATCCTTATAACTGAGTTATATGATACAGCATGCAAATAGTCAAGAGTACTTGTTAAAAGATGCCACTAATTTGTATGTTTTCCATTTACGTCGCAGGATTTCTTGGCGATTTTAATATTTTTGCAACCTGCTCTGATTTTTGTATTATGAATTTCTTGCAATTCCTGGTCGCTTTTAAGAGCGTCTAAGGATTTCCATATTGTGCAATGTTGTGTTCACACTTGCTACAAAAAAAAAACCCTATGCCATCCTTCAAGGGCGTTATTATTCTAGGTAAATCAGCATTGACTCTCTCAAAACAACACCACATACGTATTTCAAACATATGTATTTAGAAAAATTATTATTTAGTATAATTGTCCTTACAATTAATTTTCATTCAAACAATTTACAATTCAAATAAATGTTTTTCAAACATTTGTTTTCGAGAAGTTTTCTCGATACGGCAAAATTGTCTTTTTTTGATATGCATTATATAATGATTATTTCTTACAGTATTCTGGTTCATTCCACAATTATATCAAGTACAACAACATTTAATTCAATCAGTTCTTATAGCGGACATCTTTCTTCTTTTCCTGTCAGTTAGGATAAAATTCACTAATCGAAAGATAATGGAACTCAACATCACTGTGGATGGATAATGAAGAAGAGACAATTTACAATTCGAGTAAATGTTTTACGAACAATTATTTTCGAACAATTTTCTCGAGACGAAGATGAACAGGTAGGTGTACACTGAAGGTGCTTGAAGGTTCACTCAAGCCGTGGTACAATGCCAGTTATGGTGATGAGCACTGAACACTTCAAGAAAATGGATGGACAAGGCATACCGCACGTATGACACATTCGTGATGCTGAGACAATTGTCCTAGCATCATCACCAAAAACGAATAGCATGCGTCATCACTAGATATCGACGCGCTTTACTATAGTTTGTTGTCATATCTTGTGAGTGAAGTCAGTTCGTCTTCGCACCATAATACTGAAGCTCTTAAGATTAAATTGATAGGAATATGGAAATTGCAACCAACAATGACTCTCCTGAATAAGACTAAAGGGAATCATATTGAATGAATTTTCTGGTGTTATCTAGCAGATTAATACTTACTTTGCGTTAAAATTGTAGGCTGATATGATAAATCTTAAGGAGTTATGAGCTTTTACTTTTGTAACAGATTTAAGCTGCACCATATATATTTATAGGCATGGTGGAGTAATGGATAGCGGCTTGATTTGGGGAATAGGAGTGCCGAGTTCAAATTCCAGTTGAATCCATTATATTCACTTATATGGTAATACCCTTGGAAAAGGTATGAATCCTCTTCTACTGCCTCCAGCTATGGGTAAATAGCAGGACAAGACTGGGCTCTATAGCCTTGGATTGCAACTCGTCGAGGAGAAAGAAAACTCTGAATTCCATACCTGCTGAGGGTCGTTTGGGGACCCTTGTGGCACGTAGTGCACCAGGTGTCTGTATTCAGCCCTCCAAAAAGTGTTGATGGTTCTGCACAAAGCCTTCACCGCTATAATCAAATCTCATGCGCTGATGCCTGGGCTCAGTTCTTAGGAACTGATCCGCTTGACCCTCATACTTGTATTAATCATATATATATATATATATATATATATATATATATATATATATATATATATATATTAGAGCTGTTGGTCCCATTCCAGCCTGAAGAAGCCTA